CATTCCTGTGCACTGACCAAACTTGGTGCCGGAAATACTGAATCCCATTTCTTCAGTGTGAAGAGACAGTTCTTGAAGTTGTTAGTAACTCCTCTTCAAATTTCAGTGTGTTCTTTACTATAATTTTTTTCCAAGTGCTTATACTTACGTTGAATCGCATATTTACATACTTTGGTGGTTATAAAACATATAGCATTGAATATAAGCTTATCTTTTACAGTTTTTGCTTTCCCAGTGCAATGATGTAAATGTCTATGTAAGTGGGCAGAACACTGGAGAATTAGACCAATATACAATAGCGTACCATTTGACAACTGCTTCCAGCTACATAATTTCAGAGGGGGTTTTATAACCAGAGGGCTTTTGCAAGAAAAAAAAAATCTTTCAAGTATGACTCATTTTTAATTGCAAAAGAGAATGCAAAGTACTTGCTTTTAGTAAAATCTAAAGAGAAGAGAAACAAAAGGTATTTATGAAATGTCTTAGTGTCACAAGATTAGAAGCATGACACTGAAAGCTAAGAAAAAATCTAAGTAGGCAAGACAAAATCTTTTCTTTCCTAGAATATTTGTCTTTTAAAAAAAGCCTACAAGGTTTTGTGTGGGTTTTTTTTTCCTATAAACATTTGCTTCATTGTACTGATTCTCAGAATAGTGGGAATTGTTAGTTGAATGAATAAAACGATCATGAAATAAATGAGTACAAACATACAAACACTAATTGTTGCACTAGAATGTATCTGTTGTCAACCTTTGCAGGTTGTCTTGCAGTTGTACAGTTCCATTGGCCCCAAATGGTACTTAGTGAACTTTTTTTTTTATTTGTTTGGACCATGCCAGGCAGCATAAGGGAATAATGAGCTGCATTCTTTGGCTACTGAAGACTCAGCACAAATTGTGGGAACAAATAACAATCAGACAAGGCAGTGTTTTATAACATCAGGACTGCAATTCATCTTTGGGATCTTTCAAAGCTGGGCTAATAAAGGCCCACTTACAATCCCCAGCAGAATACAGTTTAATTAAATTTGTCCATTAGAGGACTCCTCCCCCTCCCTCTACATTTTAGAAATTAATTCTGCTTTCTGCCTGTTGTTCTTTCTACATCACAGATGCACTAAGCCTTCGTAATCGACAGGTCATCTGCATCACGCTGAAAGTCCTCCAGCACCTGGTGGTGTCAGCTGACATGGTGGGGGAGGCCTTGGTGCCCTATTATCGACAAATCCTCCCAGTCCTAAACATCTTTAAGAATATGAATGGTGAGTTATCCTAACAGACACTGTGTCTTTCAACCCCTAAGGTAAAAAGGGGCTTGAGGCAGGGTTAATTAACAATGTAGTTAAGATTTATTACTGTATATAAACTCAAATCTATTGAGAGCTCTAAATATGTACCCCCCCCACTATTCCCTAAGGATACACTGAAATTAACAATTTCATTTATTACTCCTTGCACGTACAGTTTATTTAACGCAGTACAGAAGCACTGAAGCAGTTCTATAATCTTCTAATAATTAAATTGTAAAGTTTTGTAACAGTCTTTTGAATACATTAATAAATGGGAAAGGTTTTTTCCTCCCTTCCACACATTAGTTAAGTTCAGCCTTTTTGTTCCATTCTGTGCTCTTCACAAGCAATTTACTGCTACCAGCAGGCTTAGGAAAGAATAAAAATAAAAGTAGCAATCAAATGAATTAATTTGAGGGTCAAGAGAAGTCCTTGTTGTAGGAAAATTTCAAGTTCCATAGTGTCTGGCAAAACAGTGAAGTTTGAAGTTATTACCACTCAGCAGGTTTTATTATAGAGAAATTTAGAACTAATTTGTATCTACAGTTGAATATGTTGTTTTCTTTGTAGTGCAAACCTCTATTGCCAGTTTCAGTCTTTAATATCTGTGGTACTGTCAGTACTGCGAGTACCGTATACTGTGAATGCATTTACACCACAGTCACCAGCTGCAATCAACATGATATATATCTTGCTTTTGCCAAATTAATCTTTTAAATATTTTTCTGTAATAAATCTATTCCTACTTATCTGTTCAATTATCTACCAAGTTACTAACTTTAAAGTTTCTGTTATTGACATGCAGCCATATAGGTCGAAAGAAGTTAATTCCTCACAGTCTTGCAAAAGAAGTACTGACAGGTTTTTAATGAAATTCATGGTATTTTAATAGTTATCTACAGGACTGCTTCCTATTATACTTTCTGTTTGCATTACTACAGAACATATTCTCTTATACTCACTCTTTAAGACCTCAGATTGAAAAATGCCTGTCCAAGACTGACATGGAGACTTATATGAGGTTTAGATTTTAGATCCCTTTAAATACATATATGTCTGTGACTCTATTTTACTTAGTGAGAAACTTGCAGTAACATATGGAATTCCACAAATGCAATGTGATTCAGATTACAACTGTGGCTTTCTAGAATCTGTGGGATGAAAGGTTACGAATAAAATCCATAGGCTGAACTTAAGTAATTTCAGTAGGGCTCCATGTGAATTAGCAGAGTCCCCCTTAACAGATCAAATTTCACTATCTGGCACAAAACAAAACTGTAAAAAGAAGAACTGTCATTGATTAATGAATATACAATACATGCTTTTTTCCAAATTTCAGCTTGAAGTATCCCATAAATTCTCTTGACTAGGCTTTTCTGCAGTGATTTCAGATGAGTAATAGGGAAAGCTCATGTGTTAACCAGGTACATAGCTTAACAAGGCATTAAACATGTTCTAAATGTATCCTAGTTTTGATTGTATTGTGAGCATAGTAAAACATATTTTCAACATATTTGCATGACATCTGTGCTATGTGAATTTGTACCTATATTAAACTTCGCTAAAACTTGATATTTGGAATTTAAGAACTAAAAACCAAAAAGAAATTAAAAGTAGTAATTCAAAATTAATACATTTTTCAAGCATTACTTTTTTAGGAATAAATGTTTTGAAAGTTCAGTATTACCAGCAATGAAATGGATACTATTTGCAAGGCCCACCATATGAAACTGTTTAACTTATTCAGTACTTAAGACTCTTCCTGTCTCCCACAGCCTCAAAAAGCTTGTATTTCTTTTCTCCTTCAGTGGTGGCTAACAGAAAATGTATGCTCCCTTCCTTCTCCTTTTTATCTCCCATATGCTTAATAGGCAACTGAGGTGCAGGTCTTTGCTCCCAGTTATAAGGAAGGTGTAGAGACTGATCCAGGCTATTTTCTCCACTGCTTGCTCATACAGGCGAAAGATGGGTGGAGGGAGCATACACTCTTCCTCCTTCTTATATGTCTAGCTTGAGGAAAGAGGAACTGTGGTACATCTTCCAGGAGTTGCGTGAATTGCAGTCTGTTAAGGCTGACACTGTGGATGTTTGTCCAGAATTAAGGAATCTGGAAGGAGCCATGTTTTAGTCATTGCCATGTCACTAGATAGGTATCTATCTGGTGAAAGGAACCCTTTCCCAAATTCAGCATCTGTCAATATCACTGTCACACTAAACAAGATTATAGTCAAGAGAATATTTTTTAAAAAAGTATTAATAAGATGTTAAGGTCAACTTACCTTGAGGTCAAGTTACCTGCTGACCATTTCAGAACAAACCAAACAAAATGATTCTTCATGCAGTGTGTCTGATGGGAAGCTCTGGAACTCCTAAGCCCAAATTCTTTGGATACCAAAAGTTTACATGGATTCAGTGGAGGCTTAAAAATGTCATTAAGAACAATCTATTACTTGTTTAATAAAATGTATGGATCACCTCTGGCTTATGGCATTCCTAAACCACAGCATGGTGGAAGCTGAGAAAGTATTAGATGCAGTACAATAAATGCTTGTCCTACATGCACATTGCCTAGCCATCTCCTTTTGAGAGACACATTTCTGGACTATGTAGGCGTTTGCTATTACCTAATACATCCATCCTTATGTTCTTCCTACACCGGTCTGAGGCAGACTTGCAGAAAATACTCAATTCCAACTGAGTTTAAAAATGTTCTGGAATATATGTTCCTCAGAAATTTTATTCACACCGCATACCTCTGATTTGTCTGAATCATGGTTCACCTCACAGTATTAGACAGGCTTATAAATAAAGCAGTAAAATCTTGCATTGGTAAGATTGTAAGGTTAGGATATCAGAAACAGGTATTTAATAAAATAAATACAGAACATAATCTTAGCGTCAGCTTGTCACATGCTTATCTCTTGAGTTCTTCTTCAGCCAACAAAATTAGTAAATCATTGTTCAGAGTTGCCAGTGTTACCTGAGCTCAGAATATAACAATAGTTTGAGAAGCTCTCAGTTCTGTTCCACTTAAGTCTAAGCAATTCTTTGCAAATTCCCATCTGTTTCCCAACACTGAGGCTAGTTTCACAGTCAGCAACAGTGGTGTTTAGTTGCTATTGCCTGCAAGGGGCATTCTGTGATAAAAAAGGAGGTAGCCTTGATGACTCTCCCTGTAGGCAACCATTTAGTACAGCTGACTGTGATTCTGACTGCAGATTTTTACTGAATTAGCCAGAGAGGCTCTGAACCATGTGAATCCTCTTTTTTAGGATCTCATGTCATTGGCACTTAGAGATTATATCTCCTTGCTCCTATTCATCCTGCTGGCAAACTGCTTCTTAACCAGCCTCACATGTCCTTTATGGGGAGTTATTAATGTATTGTTTTAAATGGTATACAGAATATTGATTATTCATGTAAACACAGTTTTTCATATGTTCCTTTGCTTTTCCATTGTACTTATGACATTTCCACTTTTTCCTACTTCCATCTGTTACTTCTAAATCACCCTCATTATTTTGTAAACATAGCCCTTTTTGTAAATTAGCAGGTTCTGCTACTATGTCTTTCCTATCTTATGATGTCTCCCAAACATGCTTGTCTGAAAATGTCTTTGTAGTGATTATGATGTCTTGATAACTGTATAATACCAGCAAAAATGGTAAAGGACTACTGAACTTTTGGAACAGAAGATAATCTAGTTATTTAATTTTAAAATTTGAGCACCTGTAATAATAGAAATTTTTACTAAAAGTTTTTTTCGTCAGTACTTCACAAAGTGTAGTGACTGCTTCTGCATAACGACTTTTAGTGAAGTACATTTTTCTTGTAGTTTCATATATCAAAGAAATAATTTTGATTTTGTTTTCTGAATTCTCTATAATTTTATGGCAGTCTGTGAGAACACGTAGTATAAATGGAATTGCTGTTAAACAACAAATTAAGGTATGCCAAATATATTTTATCATTAGAGTTTGGGGACCACAAAATAGACATAGTAGAGGTAAGTGATTGCCAGGCATATGTTCTGTAATTTGGGTCTCGAGAAGAAAGTCTATTGATTGGATATGGGCAAATTCTGCCATTTTCTATCCATTTGTATTTCTTATGTACAGGTGACTTTACTATTGGTAATTTTTGTAAAATTGTAAACTTTGTGCAGTAGATATTTCTTTCCACTTGGATTCCCAAGTGCTCTGGTGCAGAGCATTAAGACAGAGCAAAGGTCTGTTCTTGGTGCTACTACCACTAGTGTCTTCTTATTGGTGGAGACAGTGAGAGCATCCTCACCAACTGGCCGTGGTGTGCTCTGAAACAGGGCTGGAGCTTTCTGTTGCAACTCTTAGCCAGAGTCATAAGGCTGGCAGGAGAGCAGAAAGAAGGGAATATGAATTTATCCCAGTGATTGGGGAGTACCCCTGAGATTTGTAGGAGCTGTTTGACTAATCTCTGCAGACTGAGGGGGCACTAGCAGGCTCTAAGCAAGCTCCCCAACATATGGACTATTATGCAAATGTGCTACTATATAATATAAGAAACAAAAAATGTCATGGTAATGCTTACTAAGTCTATTATGAACCCTGTAATGACACTGTAATTTCCATTTAAATGTGCAAGTTAAATGTACTCTTCTGAAACTCATTTAAATCTTGTGAACAGGGAAAGAAAAGTATGTATAGAATCAAATGGAAATATTCTTTCTTTGCTTCACAAAACCTTTTCTTTTTGGGTGTCTTGTTTTCTAAGCTGCCTTTTATAAATCTGTGAGTTATCTGAAGTAAATAGAATTTAAGAACAAATAATATAAGTTTGTTCTTTTATGAAAGCAGGTAGAAGATATAAATAAAAAGAAAACAAAGGGAGTCTTCAGAGACTGGAATATGCTATTAGGGTGTATGTATACCAGAATACTGTCTGAAAAAGAAACCTGTTTATTAAAAAGATTAGACAGGTATGAACAGCAAATTTCTCTTGTTTAATTTACCTGACTAGTAAATGAAAATTTGATTTATTTAAATTGATGACTATTTTACGCTGTCAAATCCAAGCAGTCTTAACAGCTGTACTACATCAATTCATGTACACAAAAATATTTTCATGTCATCAGCTTGTATTATTCAGTAGCGATCAAGAGCAGCTTTGCAGATAAAATAATGTAGAATAGATGGAAACAAAATATTATTAGGATTTACGTGCCTCAGACAGAGAGGTATGGGGTGGCACTGCACTGTAGAAGATACCTCTCCAGCACGGTAATTTTGTCCGTGATTTGTTTCAGCCACTGTAAGGCAAACAGTGGTAACAGGGCAGACTGAAGCCCAAGTTTCTTTTGGCTGTGATAATATAATAATTTTGGCTGTGATAATAAAAGTACTATGACACTATGAGTAACTTAAAGCTATCATCAACTTCTGACAGCTTCTACCTATCTAGTCAGTCCTTTAAAATAAAATTTTAGAGATATGACTGAGAATACCTGATGTCGCTGAATCGTAGCATTCAACCAAGTGTGAAGCCACAAACGAGAATTATACTGCATGCTTTATAGCACCTGAACTTCACTTGAGAAAAAAACATTTTCTTGTCTGAAAGGTACTTCACGTACTTTGGAGAACTCTATTTTACAAAATAAAATAGTACTACGTAGACTTTAAAGGAAGAACCAGAACTTAAGTGTTTAATTGCAAAAGCAAGAGCCTGTGCCTACAGGTGAAAGTGTTCCCTGTATTGGAGTTGAAGTATTTGCAGAACTGATTGCGTATTCCAGAGCCAGTGATGCTCCTCAGAGTGGTTCATTGTTATTAGTAAGAAGGAGCAATTACCCTTTAATGTGATTGAATATGTTGTAAAGCAACTCTCTTGCCCAGAACATTTCAACTGCTTGCTTCTTCTGCTGGGAAATCCAAAAGTGCTTTCACAAAGAATGTCAATCCTGTTCTAAAATACTTTACAGTTTGCCAACTCTATGTTCAGAAATCATGTTTCAGATTTTAAAAAAAGAGATGGCTTGAACATCAACTTTTACAAAGTAATGTATTTGAGGTTCTCTTCGTTTCTCCTCTGGACTTTGAGATTTCAGATTATTCTCAGGCAACTTTTCACAGGGTTCCCCTGCTACTAAGAAAATTAAATGATTTATATCTTATTTAATATTTTATT